AAATGTGAAACACAATCACGTATGTTTGTCTTTTATTTTTACGAAGCATTATTTTATTTGCCATTATCTACGCATGCACGCATGTATAAGTGTTTTTTAGTCACAGGGCATGTTAACATACATAAATGTATTAAACAAACATATAAACATGTATGAAGTTTTCCTGTATAATTTCTAGTGAACATATCTTATAAATGAACCAAACGAATCGAGCATCACATTAAGAGCATGTGGTTAGACTAAGGTCGACAAACAAATAAATAAATTAGTTTCGCAGCAGATATATATTGTTTATTTATGATTTTTCTGAACAATAATAAAAGTTGTATTAAATGGATGACATAGTCACATTCGCATAGGGCCGCAAAAGTTGAATGACAAGCTTCTCGAGTTATCGTATTATATGAGCATGTGGAGTGTCTGCGATATAATTGTTACACAAGTTCTATGTTCCATGTGAATTATTATAAGTTTAAGGCTCCCAATAGGTGATTTTAGAGCAGTTCTGTTTTACTGTTTACAATAATTGAAAGTTTCCAAACACTCAAAAAAAAAAAAACACAACTTGGCCTTTGATGACTACAACGTGATTTGTAGAAACTAAAAAGTAAGAGACATTTTTAGTTACAGATGGCTATACAACTACAAATATTAGTCTAACCAATTTTAACTAATAAAATTGTTTCGATCATTTTAACGGTTAAAATAAATTTACTTCAAAATATATAATTATTCACACATAATGTATAGCAAATCATTTGCAAGGATATGGGAATAAAAAAGATATGAATAGAAAAGCAAAAGAACGGTTGATCTAAAAAAGTTTAAAGCCAATCATAGAATATAACAATTTTCTCCACAAAAATACTAGAAATCTATTACCTAAACGGTCTAATAAGTTTTGAGATCATGCTCTATGTAATAAACCTGGGATGAATCAAGTCTTTAACCCTGACTATCCAGCACCATATTGGTGGATGTCGGTGCTGCCTTATCAATGGAAACCATAAACTCTAGAATTCCATTTGCAATCCGTGCGTTAAGGTTATATTTTTAATCAAGTACAAATGGAGGGATTCATATCTACAAAGATTGAGATGTTGAATGAGCAAGTCTTTATTTGGTTTTAACGAACTAAGCATAACAATCTAAGTAATCTAACTAAAAGAAACTAAACTCGATAAAGAAAGAAGGATGCATAAAACGATATTGAACTATTGAATTTTACATAGAGAAAATTAGTAAATATATAAATACTTGCATCCAAAGAGTCGATCATAGACAATTAATAAAATATCACTCCAAAGATGCAAGGGATAGACAAAGACAATCATATGCAGACAATTTGCGAGAGTTCGTTGCGGTCAATGCTAAAATGTGTATAAGGACTTTTACATGCGTGACTTATCTCACACTACTACACTAGTTGATCTATCCGGTCTTTCACGTGAGCATATAGATATCGTATTATTAAAACGCAAAAAATGAAAGTCGAAAAATGTTTGCACGAGCATTACTATATATTAAGATTTTAATCAAACAATAAATATAAAAATATTTTTTGTATAGAACAACATAAACGGTTTAATTTTGAATGGCACTTAGCATGAATTTTTGTTGGCTATAAAATCTGGTATCTATTGATACTGAACAGATAGCATGGGCTAAATCTAGAACTACTACAATAGATGATTCTATGGTAAAGTTGGAAACGAAGCTCATAGCTAATTAGCCACTGTGCTGTTTGGGGAAGGTCAGAGGCTCTCTCGTTATCTATTTATCTTAATTAAATAGGCCTAATCTTAATTAACTAGTTTAAAGAATTTGTCAAACATTTAAGGTTCTTATAAAACTAATTAAGGTTTGATTTTAGTACCATCCAAGTTGAGGAAAAAAAAATTATAGATAAATCTCATAATCTCATTAAATGTGTACTTGCCACTAACCCAAAAAAAAAAAAAAAACTGTACTACTAGTACTAAATTGCATATTAAAAAGAATTAAGTAAGCTTTACTTACTGTAATGACGACACGTGGCGATCAACGAATCGATAAGAAAAGCACATTTTAGCTATTGTCAAAAAATGATAAAGCACGACGACGACAGGTCCCCACAAAACGCATATGATCCAACGGCTGTGATTTACTTTCCCCTACCTCGTAGATTAGTCCTTTTTTATTTAATTATTTTTAAAAAATTAAAAATTAAAAACGCATTTATTCCGATTCCTCTATCTCTCCTCGGTCCCCTCTCCACAGTCCACCCTCTAAACCTCGTCTTCTCTTCATCTTCTTCTTCCTTAATCATCTTTTTCTACCTTTATAATTTCTCAATCGAGAAATGATTACTGAACCAAATCTAACCGGTATTTCAGGTACGGTTAATCGGAACCGTTTATCCGGTTTACCCGATCAATCCGCTTCGCATAGCTTCACTCCGGTGACACTATACGACGGTTTCAATTACAATCTCTCCTCCGATCATAGAAACACCGTCGTAGCAGCTCCGCCGCAGAATTCAGTTTTTATTCGGGAAGTAGAAGAAGAAGAAGATCCGGCTGATGATTTCGATTTCTCCGATGCTGTTTTAGGATACATTAGTCAGATGTTGAATGAGGAAGACATGGATGATAAAGTCTGCATGCTTCAAGAGTCTCTGGATCTGGAAACAGCTGAGAGATCGTTATACGAAGCTATTGGTAAGAAGTATCCTCCATCTCCTGAACGAAACTTAGCTTTCGCTGAAAGAAACGGCGAGAATCTTGACCGTGTGGTTCCAGGAAACTACACTGGAGGTGATTGTATAGGTTTCGGGAACGGTGGAATCAAGCCACTGAGCGGTGGTTTCACTTTGGATTTTCGAAATCCTCAGAGTTGTTCTTCTGTTCTAAGTGTTCCACAAGCCAATGGTTTGATTACTATCTATGGAGATGGAATTGATGAATCGTCGAAGAAGAGTTTGTATCCTGATTCGAATCGGGAGAATCATCAATCTGTTTGGTTGTTTAGGCGTGAGATTGAAGAAGCTAATAGGTTTATTCCTGAACAAAATGAGTTGATTGTGAATTTCAGAGAGGAAAATTGTGTGAACAAAGTAAGGAAAAACTCTAGCCGTGATGAGATTTGTGTGGAAGAAGAGAGGAGCAGTAAATTGCCTGCAGTGTTTGGTGAGGATATTTTGAGGTCAGATGTTGTAGATAAGATCTTGGTTCATGTACCAGGAGAAGAGAGCATGAAGGAGTTTGATGCGTTGCGTGAAGTTTTGAAGAAAGGAGTTGAGAAGAAGAAAGCTTCAGTGGCTCAAGGTGGGAAGAGACGAGCGAGAGGACGAGGACGTGGAAGAGGAGGAGGAGGAGGACAAAATGGGAAAAAAGAAGTTGTGGATTTGAGAAGTTTATTGATACATTGTGCTCAAGCTGTTGCAGCTGATGATCGTAGATGTGCGGGTCAGTTGTTGAAACAGATTAGATTGCATTCTACGCCGTTTGGTGATGGGAATCAGAGGTTGGCTCATTGTTTTGCTAATGGTCTCGAGGCGAGGTTAGCCGGTACTGGGAGTCAGATTTACAAAGGGATTGTGAGTAAACCGAGATCCGCTGCAGCTGTGTTGAAGGCTCACCAGCTTTTTCTTGCTTGTTGCCCTTTTAGGAAGCTCTCTTATTTCATAACCAATAAGACGATACGTGATCTTGTTGGGAATGCTCAGCGGGTTCATGTTATTGATTTTGGTATTCTTTATGGTTTCCAGTGGCCAACTCTTATTCACCGGTTTTCGATGTATGGATCACCGAAGGTTAGGATCACTGGGATTGAGTTTCCACAGCCCGGGTTTCGTCCAGCACAGCGGGTTGAAGAAACTGGTCAAAGGTTAGCAGCGTATGCCAAACAATTTAGGGTGCCATTCGAGTATAAAGCAATTGCTAAGAAGTGGGATGCAGTTCAACTTGAAGATCTTGATATCGACAGGGATGAGATTACTGTTGTTAATTGCCTGTACCGGGCTGAGAATTTACATGATGAGTCAGTCAAAGTAGAAAGTTGTAGAGACACTGTTCTCAATTTGATCGGGAAGATCAATCCCGATCTTTTCGTCTTTGGCATAGTGAATGGTGCATACAACGCACCGTTTTTCGTGACACGGTTTCGCGAGGCTCTATTTCATTTCTCCTCGATTTTCGACATGCTTGAGACAATTGTGCCACGAGAAGACGAAGAGAGGATGTTCCTTGAGATGGAGGTCTTTGGGAGAGAGGCATTGAATGTGATTGCTTGCGAAGGTTGGGAAAGAGTGGAGAGGCCTGAGACATACAAGCAATGGCACGTCCGGGCTATGAGGTCAGGGTTGGTGCAAGTTCCTTTTGACCCAAACATTATGAAGACATCGCTGCATAAGGTCCACTCATTCTACCACAAGGACTTTGTGATCGATCAAGATAACCGGTGGCTCTTGCAAGGCTGGAAAGGAAGAACTGTCATGGCTCTTTCTGTTTGGAAACCAGAGTCCAAGGCTTGACCGACAAATCCTCGTTAGCATAAGAGAGACCATCTCCTGATTTTTTTCTTCTGTAATTCCCAGACACAGAATTACAGGTACAACTCGAATTCGTATTCACATTACTTCAAAAAAAAATACTATCTGACTTTTCTGGGCTTTGTACTGAGACTGTGTTATCACTTTTGCAGATGTAAGAAGAGAATGCTGCACCAAAGAAGTTGTTCAAAGCTGATATTGATGTAAGTCCTGTTTTATAACTTTCTAGCTGGATATTTGTTGTTTCTCAGCTAGGTTCTCCTAACGGTATTCTTGTAGCTAGGATTGATCAGAGAGTTTGTATATTGCTAGTAGAGTTAACTTGTTTAGATTGTAACACGTACAAGAGGAAGCTTAAAGAAACTATTGTTTAAAAGAGAAGAATTTTTACTTCTCCAATGCACACACGAGGACCAATGCTACATTGAAATAAGATGTTTTACCATTTCTGGAAAACTCTTCTGCTTGGAACCTGAGCTCCTAGTTATTAGCTGTGGTCCCTCAATGCTATTAGCGAGTTTTGATGATCTCTAAAGATATTTCAAAAGCTTTTGATGTTACTTAGAGATTCTAGGGCAAGACACCTTGAGAAATAAAAAGAGCCGGTTCAGACACATAAAGAACTCATCCCTCTCAGTGTCAATCCTAGGACTCTGCTACAACGACAAAGAGAGCAAAAAAAATACTTAATCAGAACTTAGTGGTTACTTGAGCAAAAAGCGCCTTGAAATCCTTTGTTGGGGTGCCTGTTCCCTCGGGCTTTGAGGCCAGGTCAAGTGCTTTGAATTTTGCTTCCTCAAGCTGCAACGCCTGCTCGAGTAGAACACACCATGGATTAGGAGAAGCAAAACTGGTTTAAAATTGATGGTAACTGTTGATGGTTTATGAAGCCCTTTTTTGTTATAATAATGAACACACACCTGAACGCAGACTTCTGCAACATCAGCCCTTGCGATTGTTCTCGTCTCTGTCTCAAGTAGCTCGTCATCTTTTCCTACGAGTAATTCTCGAATGCCACCTTCCTTGTCCTGCAGACCTCCCGCCCTGAATCCAAGAGCAATATTGCAAGATGAGAATTCTGCCATTGCAATTTGCATCAGATGCAAGTAAACAATAAAAGTTACCTGATGATGGTGTACGGAATACCGGAATCAGCCAAGTACTGCTCAGCCTTTCTCTTCCAAACCTACAAATTGCAGAAAGACTGTGAACATTTGCTGTGAAACTCATCTCTGTGTTCAAGAAAACAGAGAAAGAGGAGTCTCACCAGAATGTTGGCATTGCCAATACTATTGAGAGGGTGATTAATGTTTGTTCCTCCCATCGACCCAACCAACACAATCTGCTTAACTCCTGCTGCCTTAGCTGTTTCAAAAAACGACAATCGATCATCATCAGAACCTCGACCAACACACTCATACAAAAACACTCAAAGAGATGATGAATACAAACCAGCGTCTATCTGATTCTTCTGACCAATCCAATCAACCTGCAAACAAAATCATGAATCAAAAACCAAGAAGAATGAAGAAATCAACATGAAAACACTACACCAAGATAAATGTAGTAGTCACCTGTTCTGGATAAGCTCCATCTTCAAAGAAGAACTCAGGTCTTCCTCCTTTACTAGGATCAAAACCGGGCTTCATCTGCGGAACAGCGCTCGTAAGAATGACCAAAGCATCAATCCCTTCAACAGCAGGAGCAATGGCTGCAGGATCTCTGATATCTCCAATGAATACTTCATCTTGTCCATTGATCTTCTCCTTACTCTCCTTTGTCCTCACTAAACCTCTCGCAACAAACTGATCAGACCTCTCCTTCAATTTCTTATACACAATTTGTCCTGTCACATAATCCATAACCATTAAACAGTCTTCTTATGGAATTTCACAATACCACATTGTAGAGAGAATCTAAAATTTTCTTAGAAGAGCTAATTTATGATCTAAGAGAGAAAGAGAGAGAACCTGTTCTTCCACCGGCACCGGTAACGAGTACGGTGAGAGGTTCAGTTGTTGCGGTGGCGGAAACGGTAACAGATACTCTTCTGTTTTTGCCGGTGAATTTACGTCGACCACAAATCGACGTAGAATTCGAAACAAGTGAGCGAAATTGGAGAGACGAAGAACGAGGAACTGAGACAAAGGAAAAAGCCACAGCTCCGGATTTGCAAGTGTTAGCAGGAAGTAGTGGATGGAAGAATGTTGTCGTCGTCGTCATCATCGCCATTCACTGGAGTTTGATAGCTCAGACGAAGAAGACGAGAGACAGAGAGATATCGAAAATTTCTGATTTTCGCCACGTCACCTTATCTTTTGAATTATTATTTTTAATTCTAGTACGCATGTAGCGGGCCTGATTTTAAATTGGGCTAAGGCCAATCTCTCAAAACGAGCGTTTCATGTAATAGTTTTATTGGTAGTCGATAATCCAATTTAGATTCTTTAATTTAGGATTTCATATGAGATTATTATTTTTTAATTATTAATCAACTCATAAGAGCCAGAAGATAAGACAGAGATTATTTAAAAAAAAAGCTAACACAAGAAATTTTCTAGACGAAGCTTTCAATAAAGAAAGGCGGTGGTTAATTAGGCTATCACCGGAGTTTCACCGGACATGAAGCACCAAAATTTTCGTCCACACACAAAAAAAAGGGGAAGAATCGAATATATATAAAAGAAAAAGAAAGAAAAAAGAATCGTAATATATAAAAGAAAACGAAGAATAAAGAAGAATAAAGAAGAAAGTGTTATTCGTCCACACTCACGCGTTTTCATCTTCTACCTCCTCGCTCCTCCCACTGTCTTTAAATCACTATCTTCGTTTCCTTCCTCTCTCTCTCTCTCTCTCTCGAGTATTTAGCGGTGGGAACTGTGGCGGTGGCCTCGCTGTTGACTGCGGCGATGTTGGGGAAAGAGGTAAACGCAGTGGAGAATCCAAAGCTTTACCTTCACTTAGCTTTCACCGCCACTTTCTTCGCCGGACTCATGCAAACCTGTCTTGGCCTCTTACGGTACGTAACACTCCAAAATCACACCCATATTTTTTAAAATAATACGTGAAAATCGATGTCTATTATTGGTTTACATATGATGGAATCATTATTACTCAATTTAAAAATAGTCATGGTAGAAATTGTATGATAGAAGAGAATCTCTTGTTTTTATTGATTGAAATAGAAGGATTACAGAGAGGTATATATACACAATACATAGAGAGAATTTCGAAGAGACATAGAGATGGTCAAGGCAAGAGATAAATGTGTAGAATACTAAGAGATGATGTGTAGAATTCTAAGAGATGAGTCACACGCACAGTGAGTGATGTTTGTGAAAATGTGCAACATACAACATGGGATTCCTATTTTCTGCGTTTTCGTCCACCGGAAGAGAGTAAGAGCTAGATCCTCCACTAAATTTGAATCGATTCATTTGTTATGTTTCTAACCCAATTCTTGACATTTCATTTTTACTTTCAAAATCCTTTGCTAGCTTCGAATCCAATTATGGTCGTTTTGTTTTTGATTTCTTTCCCTCTTTCCCAAAAATTTTCGTTTTCTTCTTCTATATAAACGTCATCGAAACACACAAACACAAGTCTTTATATAAGCTAATAAGCACAAACACAAGTCTCTATATAAACACAAACACGAGTCTCTAAATAAACTAAAACACAACAAGACTCTATATAAACACAAACTCAAACACAAACCTCTATACAAACACAAACTCAATCACAAGTCTCTATATAAACACAAATACACAAAATGATGAGAAACACACAAGGTAAGATAAACCTTTTTATAATCAAGTCGGTTTCCTTTTGTAGAGACTTGATTCTAAACATATAGAGATATATCTCTATAAATTTATTGATAATATATTTGGTATATAAAAATAAAAACGACAACAAGCTAGGACATTTAAAGACCCTCCAACAAATGTTAGATTTCTTGTCATCCCGGCTTACCTAAACATGTAACCATATATATATTAAACATAAATCTTTTTATTACCTTCTTTTCTTTTGTTTTTCTCTTTGTTGCACGGTCAATTGTTTTTCCTTACATACAAACCTCTTTTTTTCAATATGTTCCAAAACCATATACCTTTTCCAAGATTATTCTCAAGGAACCCGATTCTCTTCTTTCGTGGTTTATCATTAGGTATTGCTAACAATATTTCCACATTTTTACTCTTAACCTTTATGAGAGTATTTAGAAAATCTTGATCGCCTGTTATCACCAGAATGTGGTACATTTTCTTTACCTACAAGAAATAGTCAATGACATCAATCATGATATCTCTCACCAGAAGAGTATCGGCAATGTCGGTTTTACGTTTACGGGGATCATCTAAAAATGAAAAGAAAAATATTAATTATACCGATTTTGATATAAACCAATTTTCTTTTTATTTTTAGATGATCTTCATGAAACGTAAAACCGACACTGCCGATACTCTTCTTGTGAGAGATATCATGATTACTGCCATTGACTATTTCCTACAAGACAAGAAAATGCACCACATTTTGGTGATAACAAGCGATCAAGATTTTACTACTACTTGGATTGGAACATGTTTACAAGAAAAGATACTACCAAATCGGTTTCAAGTGAATCACTCTCTTTTGCTCTCACCGCTTCTCCTACGTGCTCCCCATGTCATGTTCCATGTTTCTTCAAATTATATTTTATCCATTTAGTCAAATTCTCTTTGTTGTCCATTCATTTTTGTTTCTTTTTTGTTGTTGTATCAAGTGTAATCAACTTTAGAATTTTTTTTTGACAAGAATATAATAATGAAAATGCTTATGGTTGAGTCATTTTAATCAGGATAACTTTTAACTCGTTATATAGTATTATTAAAAACCTTTAAAATTATGTACTCTTATTTGAAAAAGGATGTGTTATAATCAGAAACTTATGAGTCAAAGCCTTACTGTTAAAACAAACGGATGCAACTCAATATTCTAAGTTTTATAATCAATTATATATATATATATATATATTTTATAATCAATTATCTCAGACTTTAGACAAGTAGTGTTTATTTTTCAAAGTCTGAGACGCAAAAATGCGATATACAAAAGCAGGACATAACTTTAGACAAGTAGTGTTTATTTTTCAAAGTCTGAGACGTAAAAATGCGATATACAAACGCAAGAGTCAAGACATTGGAGCAGTTTATTTTTTTGGATTATTGCTTTTCTAAGGCCACACTGAAATTTGGGAAGAGGGTGACAAATACAGTGCCAACATTTAGAGTTGTTTGGATTGTTGCAATACAAGCGCGCTTGTATTCTCTGTATCTGTTGTCGAGTAATGCAACTCTTGTTACTACAAGTAAACCTTTTTTTCCATGCAGAGTTAACGCCAAGCGTATTGCTCCATAATGAAGATGGGTGTAGCCGTGAACTCTCCATTGGTGAACCATCCCTTCGTTGAGGTGGAGGGGAATCATTTGTTCCGTTTCAGTTTCAAGAATCAGATGTTCTTCTAATTGGGAGGCTAAAACAACATGTTTATTGGGACCAGACTTGTTTTGGGAAGCTGGAGTTTGGTTTTGTGAAAGCTTTGTATGGATTTCGTAGAGGAAGTTGGGTAATAGGAACTTTCTTATCATCACTCACATATTCTATCTCATATAGAAAATCTATTATACTAGCATTTGATTTTCTGAAAGAAGATGACTTGGAAAAAGAGGATGTACTTTCCATGGTCTATGTAGAACATCCAAAAGAGACAAAGACTTGTGTTTGTGTTTAGGTACAAAGACTTGTGTTTGTGTTTATATATATATTGAGACTTGTGTGTTGTGTGTTGTGTTTGTGTGTCTCCATGAAGTTTATATAGAAGAAGAAAACAAAAAAATTTGGGAAAGAGAGAAAGAAATCAAAACCAAAAAGACAAAAATAAATTGGATTCGAAAGTAGCGGAGGGTTTTGAAAGTAAAGAAGGAAAACATCAAGAATTGGGTTCCTTGTTGTAGTGGAGGATAGGATTCCTTGTTGTAGCTTTGACTCTTTGCTCTGTTCTTTGATTGCTTCTTCTAATGAAGCTTTTCTGCAGGGTTTAACCAAATGATACAATCCCAACATAAACAAAAGTTATCATTGGTAAATGAATGATCTTTAGAACACAGAAAGGAAACAAAAGCAGAAGATCAAAGTTATAATAAGTAAATTCAAAATTATTATAAGTGAATGATCTTTAGAGCACACACAGGAAACAAAGAGTCATTCTTTTAATTTCATTCACTCTGCTTGCATGATATAGAAGCCTATGAATTTGAACCTAATCTATGTGATTAGAATCATTCACTCAAATATGGATTGATATCGTTAGGGATTGGGTAATCGTCGATGTCCCAGAAGACGCATGTGTAAGAAACTGCGAACGCATAAATCGATTACGAAATCGAGACCGATTACAACAGGATTAGAGATATCCATTAACCATTATTAGTTCACATATATGACATTGCGCTAGTTAACTACTTACCGGAGATTTCTTCTGTTGGTATGACGAAGTGGGGGTTTCTGCTTCGCAAGCTGATCAAGTCTCCGAAGGTCATGTTTTCGAAGGTGAGGTCGTCCATGGTTTCGACGCGAGACTTTTTCTCTCTTCGGGAGAAGAACAAAGGGAAAGTAAAAAAATTAGGGATGCAAAAGGTTGCCTTTCCTTTTTTATATGCGGAGCTGATATGTGCCTTGTTTTCCACCGTTGGATCTTTAACACATACCGTTTCTCAAGTTTATTTTCCAAATAGAATTAGGTTTCATAATGCAGTTAGACTTTAGTATTATAGTGAATCCAGTCTCAAAATTACCAATTATAAATATGGGTTTTCTAGATTGAGTACTTAATTTCTTCTCTAAACCTAAAACCTAATCTGCTCTTCCTATACTATATCTTAGACACTTTAAAAGCAAAGATAGACTAACTTATACTAAGATGGATATTACTTTCGTTACATTTATAGTCCTCGCTTGCTTTGCTGTGATTTTTCTCGTATGTTGTTGCGTCTCTGGTTGCAACAATTGGGAAGAGGAGAAAAATCTGTCCTATGCCGTTGACCTGGAAAATAGTCAAACGAGAACAAAAGATGTTCCAAGTTTGACCAGCTCTGGCCATCATCCATCATCATCATCATCATGATAACAGTGACGGTCATCATCATTATCATCATCATCATGCCAACATTGCCTTTTCCGATGGAGACTCTTCTGGTGGCGGTCATCATTATTGTTCGATGTTGTAGCTTGTGTTCTTTGCTTGTAGATTTATTTACATAGTAATTTACAAAAAATTCAATTTAGTTTTTTTTTTTCGTATATCCAATTGTTAACTAAGAGATTTAGAGAAAAAACGCAGAAAACAGAAGTGTAACAAATTGTTTTCGATTTCTATTTGGAGAACTACACAAAATTTTCTTTGTGTTGATACAATACAACTCAATATTTTGAACGTCGAGAGAGGTTCCTCAACACTATAAGACGGTTGTTTCTGTATAAGATGGTTTCTTTACGTACTCTACAAGCAACGAAGATACAAATCAAGAAAAATAAAACACCGGTTCCTTCCTTTTTTTAAATCAAAACAGAGTAGTTTGGCGACCAATTCTTCTCGGTAAACCAAAATTTTGATAAGATCGGATTTCACCATGAACTGTAGCTGTCACAATCACCATCCCCCAAGCCGTTGGCTGTATAGTTTGCGGACCATGACCTCCACTGTCGAACCATGACCAAGAAGATAACCTTGACGATGTGTTTATCGATGGAGATTCCCCAAACCTCGATGAATGCTGCTCTGAACCGTTCATACTCAACCGAAACGACTCACTGCTTCCCAGCTCCGGTCCTGCTTCTTCCTCTGGTTGAATCTGACTCTTCGTAGCGGCTTTCTTAGGCATAGGAGGTAATCCTGATTTTTTATTGCGGTTAGATGTAGTTGGTCCAGTCGCCGAGGTTTCTTCTCTTGTTGGTGAGCCTATGGTGGATGAAGGCTGGCTCGAAGTGGATATGCGCTTTGAGTGGCGTTTAGAGTGAATCTGAACTGGTGGTGGCTCACCTCTAACATGACCATGCCAAGGAACAGCAGCTGAGACATCTTTGCAATGAAAGTGTTCGTGAGATTGTGTCGTGAGTGTTGATCTTGTTCGGTGAAAGTCATTCTTCCACAAGTAAACTTGAGAGTCTTCACTTGCACAAATTATGTATTTCCCATCTTGGCTATACGAAGCAGAGAGTTGGCTACACGTGTTTCTAAAACCTGTCAACAAAAAGTATCAGATTTTGTTTTTGTTGTTGTTGTTGCTTATCTAGTGCTTGTAGAGAATTTACCTTTGAATTTGTGAATAACTTCGGAACCGTCTAGTATTCGAATCCGTGAATCAGCGGATGTGACAAGAACTTCGGATGGATTCACCGGGGAAAACTATATAATGCGTCAACAACTTGTCAACATTTAATGGTGTTTACTAATGTCTTAAGAAGGATTTAGGATTTTAAAGAAAGGAACCTGAAAACTAGTGATCTTCCTTTTCGCTTGTGATTTCTTATTGCTCTGAACATCAATCTGATTAGTTTGGCTCAGCTTACAATCTGTTCTACAGAAGAAAAAAGCGCGTAGCAATGAAAAGGAGTATTCAACTGGTAAAAATGATGTTTGAATCAGAAAGAGCTTAGGAAAGAACCTTCTGTATCGTAAGCACGACAAATTCCTTTATGTGACCCGATAAGTGCACCCTTCAATCGAAAAAACCAAGACTTCCATCATTACAAAAACCGCAATGGATTGGATTTTGCAAACTACTGCAAGAAACAGAGAAAAAAACAGAGCAAATACCTGACCGTCTGGAGTGTAGCAAGCAGCAGTAACCATTTCATGAAGATCACTCCATTCCACAACATGTCGATCTTGTATGCTCCATATCCTTATCTTAGCGTCAAGTGAACCACTTAAGAAATAATTTTCATCCACTGGACTGAATTGAATACATGTCACTGTTGAATCAATGAGACAATGGTCAAAAGAGTATGCAACAAATTATAGCTAGATGTAAAGTCCGGAAACAAAAGATGTGTCTCACCGTAGTCATTATGGGCAAACAGTTTAAGACATGTTTTGGTTTCTATATCCCATAACCTGACTGTTTTGTCCATGGAAGATGAAAGAAGAAGCTGAGATTTGGACCATGACAGATCCAAAATAGCATCCAAATGACCTTTCAAAGAGCAAACGGGCTTATCAGAAAAAGAGAAGACGGTTTCAGGAACATGGACGTAATCGGGAATGTGATTGTTTCGTCTTCCCGATGAGCCTTTTCCTTTCCTTTTCTTCTCTACCAAAGTTATCTCATTTCCAGCAGAGTCACAAAGTGAAGGATGAATAGGAGTGAGACTCCCTTCATTCATAGACATTAGTTCACATTCTTGAACCTCCCATACATGAATGACTCTATCCGCTCCTCCGCTCGCTAGATAATGAGCATCTTGACTAAACTTAATAGTCCAAACCGCACCCTCATGAGCTTGAATCTCTTGACACATATGCAAAGCACTTAATTCCTTGTAAGATTTCCCTGTTGGTCTAACTTTCACCCACTCATTAGCTTTACCATGCTTATGATCTTTCCCCTTTTTCGGACTATCGGTGCTTCCATCGCTTACATCTTTATCCGCAACCCGTAAACTCATGGAATGAGCTACACCTTTAATGTTCTTCAACAATGCAGCTCCTCTTCTCTTACTCAACCTCACGCTTTTCGAAAGATACGAATTAAACTTCCGAAGATCCATTAACGGTTCGTAGTTAATCCTATTCACATTCTCTCTACGCATAAGCTCTTTAACCACAGGTGAATAACCAACACATTTCTCAAACTCCTCCAAAGTTAATTGCTTCCCTGTTTGTAAATCACTAAGCCTATTCCACATTCCATCTTCGTCATACTCATTCACTATAAACTCTTTCCCTGTATCAAGGTTCTTAATCAAGAAAAACGCACCAAGCCTCGCATTCGACATAACCGATGTCAGAGCCTCTGAACCACCCAGACCACCGCGCAAAGCTTTTCCATTTCGACAAACTGCAGGGGATTGTCTGATCGGAGTTTGGTACTGACAAATCCTTGTCCTTGTAGCTCCAATCGTCGAATACGTTCTCGTAAGACGCTGCTTCGAGATCTTCCCTAAAATATCTTCCTTTCTTCGTTTCTCAATCAAGAACCTCTCAATATCTGATTCCGATCTCGACCTAGCAAGCATAACCGGAACATGGTCATGATCATGATCTTGATGAATCTCCGATTCATCATCAACTTCACCATTCATCTTCTTCTTCATCTTCTTATCTTCTCCATTACTAACAATAGCCGCGTTAGAAACAACACGACGAATCGAAACAGCACTAACCATATCTTTATTACTAACAAGCCCCATCCCATGGAGAAGACGACGACGACGCTCAGATATCGATCCCGGAGCAGCCATCCAAATATCGTAATCAGGAGACATCGCCGGCGTACGAAATTTCCTTGACGCGGTGGTTAACGAAGAAACGGCAGAGGAAAACGAGAGACGACAATCGTCAAAATCTTCATCTTCATCTGAAGAAGAACCAGCAGACATGTCAAAAGCTAAAGCAGAAGAGAGACGATCATGAGTTTCGAAGAATCTATCATCATCTTCGTCTTCAAAATCTCCTAATCCTTCCCAGTTCATCGTCATTGTCTTCTTCCGATCAAATTTGTTCCCGTCTTCCATTATCTTCTACGAACTCCAATGGTGATTGAATTTTTTGCATAAACGAAATTGAAAATCAAAAAATTTGGCAGATCATTGTTGATGATTCAGAGGCACCGTTATGGAATGATGGGCAAATCGGGAATTATGGAGGAAAGTGTTGAAGACGTGTTTTGTCTCTTTGTAAGACATCGATCTCTTCACGTTCAGTTTCATTACCGAAACTAACAAAAATGTTTTAATGATGATTTTAATTAAGATCTTAATTCAAAACCAAAGGTCGTGGAAGCATGTTTTGCTTTCGTTATAATTCAAAGCTTAATTTACGTTTTGTTCTATTATAAATGTGAACAAAAATTATATTGTATGTTCGACTTTACGTATAAAAGATACTTAAATAAAATAACTAAAGATAACTATTTTTAAAGTTGGTGGCGATGTTAAATTTCTTATTTATCAACAATTTTTTGTTTGTTTTTTTGGCTATTTTTATATCGAATTCTGGAATACAAACTATACCTTAAAACTACTAGGCATTGACCAAGAAGACTGATAATGCGAGGGAACCACATTCTAGCAAATCTTGAGCATCATGCCAAAATGTTTTTACTAGGAAGAATAATATCAATAAGCTATCATTTTAACTAGATTTTTGGGTTAGTACAATAAAATATGTATATCCTTAATTAAAAAAAAAATCAGTTTAGATTTTTCATTTAAAAAATAAAATCAATTTGAATATTAACAAGAATTTTGACCATAATAAGAAAAAGTTAGGAAAATTTTCAGATTTTTTGTACTATGTTTAGAAGAGAGTGTATTTTTTTTTTTTTTTTTGGTAAAAGGTGAAATTAGAAGAGAGTGTATTTTATTTCTAAAAGTGTATTATTGGAGATAATTTGGATAGAGCAGAGTGAATATAGGTGGCCAACAAAAAAAAGAAGAATCAAAACTCAAATCAATGTTTAGTTAGAAGAGATTCGATAGTGTATTCTGAGTACCAAATTTAAGCAGAGTGGATATAGGTGGCCAAATATTATTAGCAACGAAAGTTTGCAAAGCTGACTATCAAGAACATCAGATTTTTGTGATTCTAACTTTATATCTAAGTCAGACATAAGAAGATATATGATAAAGATTTGTCTTTTTGCAGCTAATCAAAATCTTGAAAGTTAGAAAACTATAGAGCTGCAAATTTATTTTTGTTGCTTTATTTGTAACCTGTTCAGAAACATTTCAAAGAAGCTCTATCTAATCACTTTGAATTGAACGTTTTAAGGTTGACAAGAATCAAAACAGAATGAGTACAGCTCTATGTGCATATCTTCATATATATTTTAAGTCTTAACATCATTTCGTCACAGCATTAGCGTTGAGAAGTATTGTTCAAATTCCTGATCAATGGTTGGCTTCTTTGGCTCATGTATAGTAGAAGAATCTGCACACATGAAACCAAGTTAGTGAATTCCCGGTTCAGTGAACCAATACGGTCAAACCAAAATACCGGTTTTTACCTTGGTTAACAGTCCATCTCCCAGAGGACAGAACAAACTTAGCAGCATTACTACTACATCCTTTAGCTTCTTCTTCTTCTTCTTCTTGTTCATCGAGATAGAGAATGTTTTCAATGACTTTATCTGAAAAATCCTCTAGATTCTGAGTCCCATAGATATAATCTAGATGGCTTTCGAAAGAGATCATCTTGTCTTCACCGCATGATCCAGATGATTCCTCTTTCATCTCAATCTCATTGTTACATTCCATTGAAGTTGTTGAGTTCACATAAGACATTGAATACTCTGTATCAATCTCCGAGTTGACATTGGTATTGTCAGAACAAGCGACATTGGCGAAACAAACGTGCTTCGAAAGAGGTAATAATGATAACTCATCAGATTGATCTGTCTGAAATTTCCTCTTCTTGCTCACCTCAACTTCTTCTTCCATTTTCAACACATTTTTACTACTACTGATGATCATGTGATGGAAACTACAAAAGAAACCGTGACAATATGAAGATACAAAATATAGTGGATGGATCTTAAATTCTTAATCATCAAATATATGAATTCACTTTATTAATCTTGAACTTAATAAGGATTTAATAAAGAAAAAAAAAAGGAAATATTCTTAATCTCAATGATACTTCAATCATCCTCTGCAGCTATGATTTTGGTCAACCATTGAGATGAATACATACATGTTACTAATCAATCATCCTCTGTATCTTATGTTTGATTAAGAAGCATAAGAAGAAATTAAGAGTTAAAACACTAATTTTCCAATACACAGAGATCTAATATTCGAGAAAAAGAAACCTGTTAATCTCAGATTGCTTCTCGTTGTTGTTATCCACTTCCACTTCCACTTCAGGCATAGATCGCAGAAAGATAGAGAGAGTTCAAGGATAATTGTTTTTCTTATTACTCTTAAAAAAATGCTCTTTCCACTTTCAGAGGGTCGGAAAATCTGGAAACTGCGTAACTTAAGAAAATATAAATTAAGCATAAAGAGTACGACGCATTACGGAGGAGCGTGTCTTACACGGACTATGTGAATCCGTTGATCTCGTCGACACGGTGTTTGATTTGGCGCGTCAGAAGATCAACGTGTTGGAGAGGTGACCCATCTTCTTTCACGGGACCGTTTATTTTTATTTTTATCTTTCGCTCCATACGAATTTGTAATTCTTTTACTATTGTCCCATAACGATTTTATGGGCTTTTGGATGAGGAGGTTTAAATATTGATCATTTTTTTTTCTTACATAGGTATAAAAGTTTAATATTTTATAATTCTATATCATTATTTAAATAAGACTATATATTCCTAACTATGACTTAAAAGATCTTTTGTGTTTGTGTGTGTGTTTTTCTACAAATTATAACATATTAATGTTAGGAAGGTTTTTATAGAATTTTTTTCAATAAGAGCAACTTACAGATTGTATATAACTATTTGGAAATTTTTTTGGACAATTTTTTATTTTGTAAATGTGGTATGACTTGAAACATTTAGCTAGTACCATAATGACAAAATAGTATTTTATTTTAGTTCTTACTGGTTTGATCTACTACCTAAGCAAAAAATATCTTACTAATAATTTATAATAATTGACACGTCAAAATGTACTGGATCACGTGCTTCGCATGTGCTCACGAGAGTATCATATGGCGCTGTCTGATGATTTTGGTAGCATTCATCATTGCAACTCGTAAGAAGAAAAGCTGAAACCAGATCTTCCTTCGTTAACTGTTTTCAGCTCCAGCTTCTGAAACGGACTGGCCAAAACAAAATTTTAAGATTTATCAGCTTCTCTTTACCTCAAACAACAAAGAACAAATAATAGTTTGTAACTATACGAGGAGGATCTTGTGGACTAACCTGCTGTTTGGATCATAATAGAAACCGCTGATGGATCCGTCGCTGCAGGAGAAGCATACGTAGTAAAATCCAGCTATTGTTAGTCCACAATCTGTGCCAACATTTACAAAGTATTGCTCTTTCCATCTCTGCACCACCAGAAAAATAAACCGGAGTTTGCGGGAATTGTGGGATATTTGAGAGAAAATGATATGATTGGATCCATAGGAAAAACTGAGAGTTATACCATAAATATATAAGGGTAATTGTTAAGATCCAATTGCCTGCCACCATCAGATTCAACTTGTCCCTGCAGGTATAAGTCCAGAACGTCGCTTAGGAGATGGATGTTACTAACTCTACAAGCAAAGTTATTCGAGTGTTACCTGAAGAGGCGAAAAAGACGGAAACTTTGACCAATGTCTCATATCATCTTCCCTCCTGCGACAAACAAAATTTCAAAAATTTATTTACGACAAGAAATCATCAGTTTCAAATCTTCAAGAAAATAGGGATTGGGACATACGTGGCTTCCCATTTTCCGGTGTAAAAAGTATAATTCTTTCCATCAACGATTTCCCCTTCCCAGAATGTTATGACCTGACACTCATAGAATCAAGAATCGTTTCCCGTGTTATAAAGTCAAGGGGAAGTAACATGAAGACAACAAACAAGTAAGAGTGTAAGGGCTTACAGGAGTGTCTGCCATGGGAACGTTTAGAGCTTCCATGGTACCACAAAGATAACCATGTTCAAGGTCAATTCCCTGTATCTGGACGTTAACTCTCCAAGCTTCCTCCTTCTGTTGATTAGAGACATTTTGCGTACCAGAAAATGCCTGCAGCATAAAAACATGAGCGTATACCACAATTCAAAAGACCTCATTTCTATGTTCATTACGAATAAACAATCTCTTGGAGCCAATACATGTTCTACAATCCCAACTAGATATAAGTGCATACAGGTCAACATGAAAAAGATTAGAGATATCAAGCCATTCATAGCAAACAAAGCCAACTTCTACTTCGTATAAAAAGAAATCAGCAGTATTATAGAAGTTTTATGCAAGTAGAACATTGGTATAAGACGCATATCTATCTAATGGGAAGAAAGTATTCTGTGCCCATGATGTTTGGTGCCTGCCTAGTGCCTATGAATGATGCTTTGTGACTGAACAACGAGATCTTTACATCTTTATAAGAAGAGTATGCACAAGCATGAATACAAGAATAGAGTTCCCACCAGTCAATATTCCCACGACATCTATGGTCAGACATTAATGAACTACCTCAATCAATTTGTGAATCCAAGTACAGAAATTTCTAATCTTTACACAAAAGATTGATGCCAAACAACATTATTTCTTTCATTCATAAATCGTTTTACCTGGCCAGCGCCGAGAAGTGAGCTAGGCGGAAGTGGTGATCGATTCCCAGGATCAGTTCCTAAATGGCAACGAATCTCAATGAATTAGCGAGAACCACAAATAGGGAATAAGAACAAACCGTAGAAGCGATAAAAACCTGAAACTTGAGCAGGCGTGTTGCTCTCAACAACTCTCACCGGCATTTTCTTCCGCCTCTTCCTTGCCGTCTGATAAAAATCCGATCTTTTAGTGCGACCGAATCAAAATTGTAGAGCTTAATAAACCACATGATCTCATCATAGCCGGTTCGGTTTGCTAAACCGAGTGAAATTAAACATTACGGATTAGGCTTCTCCGGTTTACTCACGCATTATAAAAACCTTTTCTCATTCCCGTCAGACCGATATTCGCTCTCTCCTCGCCGGCGCCTCTGAAATTCTTCAACTTCCGAAGGTAATGTTAATCGGCCGTTTACGAAGGAAGAAACTTTTCACCTCTATTATCGAACTTGCTTTATAAAAATCTAACCTTTGGACCTGACTTCTTTGCTCTTCTCTTTGTCTAGCTGCTTCTGTCACCATTCGACACCAGGTTTGTCTTCTTCTCAATTTGAAGTCATTCTAGTGGCACAGTTCCATATTTTCTGTAGATTCATTAGTTTAGGGATTGACCTTTTCCTGGTTCGTTCATTAGTTTAGCTATTGACTCTTAAGACTGTTACTTGAATCTATTCACATGAGCTTCTGACGCCGTTTTCATTGGTTTTAGCTATTGACACTGACTAGGGTTTGCTTGCGTTCATCCTCTATTTCATGTTACTTAATTGCATATTTATGAACAGTGCTAAAAGGCCTTTTTGTATGGCATTCTAGATGTTGCTTCTGAAACAAAGCTCAGCTGCTGTTCTTGTCGTTGGGAATACAACTCCAGTCCTCCACACTTCTCGTTTCACCTACAGAGTTGGACCTTTTCCAGTGAGCAGAACGCAGTCGTTCCAGAGTTTGACTATGGCAAATTTGCAGAAGCTTTCCACTTCTTCATCTGGGAAATTGAATACGGCTTCAGCGGTGTCCTGTAGCTCTCATGAGGCTTCTCCTATCAGGTACCTATGTCCCCTGTATTTCTTATTTTGGGTACACGGTGTCTTTTAGTTCGGATATACGCTTAAATAGGTTACAAATCCTATGTGTTTTGAGTATAATGGTGTCACATCATAACTATTCTTCTTAATTATTTTCTTGATTCTTCTTGGCTATTGTGATTATGGTGGGTAAAAGGATAAACATGATTGGATCAATTAAGCTGAAAGGCGTTTTATTTAAACCACAGAATTAAGCTTGTAAGTGTCATGGACTTGAGAAATTGCATAGCTGTTGTAGTTAACATTGCATCACACCAATTGCAATGAAGTAACAAGCAAAGAAACTAGCTGTGCTTCCCTGCTCATATCTCTATTACTAGACACCAAGATTTGAAGATAGTAAGATTGGCGAATGAATATCTGATGTTATTTTTCTTTTTTCTTTGCAAGTGAGAATAACGAGAATAAACATGTCCATGGAGTTTCTGAGACAATTGTCGGAGTTCTTGGGGGTGGACAATTGGGTCGTATGCTTTGCCAAGCTGCTTCCCAAATGGCTATCAAAGTGATGATTTTAGATCCTTCAGAAAATTGTTCAGCAAGTGCATTGTCGTACGGTCACATGGTAGATAGCTTTGACGACAGTGCTACAGTTGAAGAATTTGCAAAAAGGTCTCTTCTTCTGTTTTGATTCTTGAATGCTTCAGGTTCTCGATTCTTATTGTCATTACAATATTGATGGTTATTTTTGTTTATTGTCGTAATTAGATGTGGAGTCTTGACTGTAGAAATTGAACATGTTGACGTGGAAACATTAGAGAAGCTTGAGAAACAAGGAGTGGATTGCCAACCGAAAGCTTCTACTATCAGGATAATACAGGTTTCCTAGCCTCTCAAATATTTTCATCAAATGGAGTTATGAATAATTGAAGTTTTCCAGCAATGTGATTTATACGGGCAGTTTGATGATGTTCCAGGATAAATACATGCAAAAAGTTCATTTCTCTCAGCATGGCATCCCACTTCCAGAGTTTATGGAGGTTAGGCCCTTGTTTCTGCTTTGTTGAAATAATCACTCATGAAGTTCTCCATGAATCATGAGGAGTCTGTTAAATATTTTAACTCCTAAACCTCGTCAGATAGACGATATTGAAGGAGCAAGAAGAGCAGGTGAACTTTTTGGTTACCCTCTTATGATCAAGAGCAAACGATTGGCTTATGATGGACGTGGAAATGCAGTTGCCAACAACCAAGATGGGCTTTCTTCTGCTGTAACGGGTAAACCCTTAACTAACAATATGTAATGTGGTTTCACAGTTTCTAGCGACAGTTGAACCAATTAATCGCAAAGCCACAGTCAATGTGGAAACAAGAAATTGTGAGTTACATGAACAATAATAGTGCTCTCATGTGAAACTAGCAACAGTGTTCTGAGAAAATCCTTGACTTTTATTCTCAAGTTGGTATTAATCCCTGACACCTATGTTTGTAGTAGATATCCTAATGACTTACTTTTTAGCTCTACAATGTAATCTTTATTTTCCTGCATTTGCTTCAATATTTTTTCTCTTTCCCAGCTCTTGGAGGTTTCAGTCGTGGTTTGTATGTTGAGAAATGGGCTCCTTTTGTCAAGGTAAACGATGATAAAATTTGTTTTGCTTTAGTAACTTATTGAGCTCTGACCTGTATAATCGGTTATTAAAATTTAGGAGTTAGCTGTTATTGTGGCTAGGGGAAGAGATGGTTCTATGGTTTGTTACCCTGTTGTTGAAACCATTCACAGGTAACTCAAAAGCTCGACTAAATATTATTTATAAGATTGAAAGTACAATACAATTTTCTTATTTCCTACTAATAAACCTTGAAATGCATTCTAGGGATAACATATGCCATATAGTTAAAGCACCTGCAGATTTACCTTGGAAGATCAACAAACTTGCCACCGATGTTGCCCAAAAGGCTGTCGGTTCTTTAGAAGGCGCTGGTGTTTTTGCAGTTGAGCTGTTCTTGACAGAGGATAGTCAGGTAATTTCTCATACATTTTAGGCACTCTACCTTTTTTTTGTTTTTTATTTTTAACTTTGAGTTTTCGTTCCTCCCAGATCCTGCTAAACGAAGTTGCACCTAGACCACACAACAGTGGCCATCAAACGATCGAGTGCTGTTATACTTCACAGTTTGAACAACACTTGCGAGCTGTGGTTGGTCTTCCACTCGGTGATCCGTCAATGAGAACTCCGGCGTCCATTATGTACAATATTCTGGGAGAAGATGATGTAATTGATGTTTATCTTTACTTTATTGTTTCAATTTTCTTGATAATAATACCCATTGCATTATCTTCTTATCTGTTTAATGAACATGTAGTGGCCTTTTGGTTTCAATTTTTTTTAATATCAGGGAGAAGCTGGTTTCAAATTGGCTCATCGGCTTATTGCAAGGGCACTGTGTATTCCAGGTGCATCTGTTCATTGGTATGACAAGCCAGGTTAGATTTTTGTTCTCTTACAGTTTTCTTGTGGTATGTTGATAGTTTTGTGTGAACTATTGTGATTACTCACAAAGCTTGTACGATAAACTCTTAATTGTTAGAAATGAGAAAGCAGAGGAAGATGGGTCACATCACTCTTGTTGGGCAGTCTATGGGTGTTTTGGAACAAAGATTACATTGTATATTAAGTGAGCAAAGCCACCAAGTACACGGTCAGTTTCCACAGCATCATTTGGTATCTATATGCCATTGGCTTTTAGTTTCTGAATGCCTTCAAACTTATCTCACCAAAATCTGTTGTATAACCTTTTTGTGAAACAGTGCACCCTTCGTTTTCATGATTGTTGAACCCTTCATGAATCTTCCAAGAATCTGACTAAATTTGTGTTGCTTGTTGTTTACACATTGCAGAGACACCTCGTGTTGGTATCATCATGGGTTCAGACACGGATCTTCCTGTTATGAAGGATGCTGCCAAGATTCTGGACCTGTTTGGTGTGACACATGAGGTAAATATTAAGAACTGCTTGAACAATTGAATTTGGCACGACTTGCATGAAGTAATTATAATCCACTGAAGACAGATATAAGAAACCTTAAGTTTGTAATTTGGTAAATTAATTGTGTAGAAGCTCAAATATATACTTTGCAATTATGCATTGCCCAATATTTGGTCACGTAGATAAATTGATAGTGACATCATTTTCGGAAGCAGCCTCTCCTATCAAATATAAAAGATTTCTTGTTCATGTTTATCACCACAAAATTCATTGTCTTAAGTGCATCTTGAATGGTACAATATGGTATCATTTGCTTACAGGTAAGGATAGTTTCTGCTCATCGCACCCCGGAGATGATGTTTACATATGCAACCTCAGCTCATAGTCGAGGTGTTCAAGTCATCATTGCAGGTGCTGGTGGTGCTGCTCACTTACCAGGTATGTCTTTAACATGAACTCATTTTGTCCCTCCCACAAGATTGTTACCGTAAAAGATTGGCTTTTCTTGGAAATTAGGTATGGTTGCTTCACTCACTCCTTTGCCTGTGATTGGTGTCCCTGTCCGTGCTACCCGTTTGGATGGAGTTGATTCACTTCTTTCCATCGTTCAGGTACACTTTCATTGCATCATAATTAACTTCAGCTATTGATTTTTTGCATCATTTGAAACGATCTAGGTCTGTGATTCTTAAACCTTTCAAATTTATCCTTTTTTGTTACCAAAGATGCCCAGGGGTGTTCCTGTTGCGACAGTTGCAATAAACAATGCGACCAACGCAGCTTTGCTTGCAGTCCGGATGTTGGGAATCTCTGATACTGATCTTGTCTCAAGGTTCCTTTTCTTATCTTTTCTTTTGTTACAGAGTCAGATAAAACAAGAACTAGAGAACCTTATTATAAATGAGATTTGTGGGTTTTGTTTGGTTGATCAGGATGAGGCAGTACCAGGAAGACATGAGAGATGAGAACCTGGTTAAAGGAGAGAAACTTGAGACAGAAGGTTGGGAATCATATTTGAACCAGTGAGAGTGTTACTGGTCAGAGCCCTCACTGGGATATGGGAGTGAACCATCACGATTGATTTTGCTGCAACGAAGATCTTAAAGAGTGATCTGAGAGTTAGCCTCAATTCTTGAGTTAGTTTGTTGTTGTTGTAATTGTCATTGCCATCCGCTTTAGGTTTAAAGCATAATTAATTGGGAGTCAATGTAATTGAGTTCGTTTTTCCAAAAGATGTCCATGAAAACTGTTTTAAGTTTTTAACACATGATTTTACAGGTGTAGCTATGGTTTTGCTGGAGGTGATCCGTTTTGATTTCTTATTAATTTCTATGCTAATATGATTAGTAGAAATCCGTATAACCAATTATTGAATTATCAGACTATAAGTCGAAACAGTTCATGTACTTTTTTTTTTTACATCAAACAGTTCATATTCTATCGTTATAGAGAAAAACAAATTAAAATGTTTTGTACAGAGTATTCAAGCAGTGGAGGAGACAAACATGCTTAAAAGAAAGAAAAAAAAGAAGAGATTATGGGAGTGGTTGGAACTTCAAGTCGGGATGATTCTTCTTGACGCGGTTGATAACGTGGTTCTTGAACCCTTAGGTCTCTAAAGATGGGAGAAGTAGGGGTTGGAAACCATTTCGAAGAGCAGCTTCCCAAACTCTAGGAGGATTAAGGTTTGAATCGAGACCGCACTCGTGTTCCTCCCACCCTTCAAGCGCATGTACTATCCCACCAACTCTCCATGCGCTCATCACTCTCCTCCCCAGCCAATTCTATAGACACAAATGTGTTATAGAGCGTACCAATTATATACTCTATCTTCATAAAATACAAACACTTGACACCATACGAATGGTGTTTGGAATTTACGTCTATAGCATGGTTAAAATGTTTAAAGTTGTGTTAGTTAAAAAAAAAATAGTACACATAAACCTAAACGCTAACGCAAACTAACTAGAGAGACTATTTTACTGGAATTGAAGTACCTCACAAGAATCAATATTTTGGGCAGCGTGCGGGATGATCATGGCCGGAGTGGTATGGTAAAAACAGTCTTTTCGTAGTTTGGTAGGAGGAAATTGAGAGAAAGGAAGAAAGAGAGTTCCTTCATTTGCCATCTTCTGCTCTTTTTTGCTTAGCCCATCTCCCACCAACCAAATCTAAATCATACATTACATATTTGTTTGTAATCTTGATTATGTTTTTATTAGTTTAATGCCATTCGTAATTTACACATACCATTGGATAGTAATTGGTTGTGAGCACCAGATTTTCCTTACAATTATCGTCCAAGAACTCCGCGAGCATGGAATGCTCTTCCTTGCGTAACACCATCACCTATTTATTTTAATTTATTGAGCGTGAAAACCGATCAGAATTTCTCTAAAATATGAATTGTTTCTTAAAATGTTCTGAAATGTACATCTTTGGCAAGCTCAAACCAAATCATATAACATGAGATGCCAAAATTGTTTTCTCAAAGTAAGCCACGTGACTTTGGTTACGTAAGGCACCAATCAAAGGATTAATTAGATAGTGGCGTAACGTTATATGGAAACTCCATTGACTTTATTTACGTTCGATCCTATTTTCACGCTCGAATTGGCTTTATGTATTGACAACTAGAAAAGAAAAAACATATTCTTCTTATGAATTGTTCCATTCAAAATGAATCCTTTGTTTCACTCTCTCCATTTGAAAAAAAAAAGAAGCAAAGAAAAAAACATAGGTACCTTGATGGCATTTTGGCAAAGAGAAAAGACAATGGCACGAGCAACTTTTGTGATTTGGCCTCTAAAGAGAACCTCTTTGGTCCCAACAGGAATGCTATGAAGCACCACCTCAGCTGCAAGACTGCTTCCGTCCACTATCCTTATTTTTAGCTTTGGATGCTTCCTCACGTACATTTCTCCATACCCATTTAATTCTTCTCCCTGAGGATATTAATAATTATTAGGATTTATTGAATAAGTAACGAATTAATGTATAAATTGCATTGATACCAAAAAAATGTATAAATTGCATACCTGGTTCAATAGCCCCAAACTCATTACTTTCACACCTTTCTTCTCCGCTTCAAGAATAGCCTCCTCTATCATTTTGTTGATACATTCTTTCTGCTGCTGCGACATGTACTGTGGATTGGCAAATAAAACTTATTAATTACTAGACGTGAGAGTACTGTTCATATTTAAGGATTAGAAAAGAGAAGAGAGATATACATGAGAGGAGAACTTGGGAAGAAGGTGGGAGTGAAGTGTGAGATCACGGAAGCGGTTTCTCTCGAAGACGAAGGTTGGAAAAGAGAATGAAGTGAGAATGAAGGAGATGATATGAGTGAAGGGCTTCATCATGATGAATAGGTAACACTGGGAAGAGAGCGGGTGCAAGGAGAGGGAAGCCAAGCCGAGCCGGAGATGGTAAATAGAGTCCAGTGATGTTAGATGGGTCAGATGAATCGCGTCAGGCTTATCTTCTTCTTTTTCCAACGATGTTTCGTACAATGAGTCATTGCACTCGTCGGTAGTCCCATAGATGTAGTCGTACATTGGCATGAATAGAGAGTAGTTTGTCCTGAATTGTGTGTGGTGGAGCGAGTGAAACCTACAAGTATCTCATATATATACTTAGTCTAAAAAAAAAAAAATTCAATCATAGTTTGGCCATTGTAAACGCTTTAAGTGGTAACAATTCTCGGTTTTCCACAGACATAGGGATTATAGTCTGAATTTCCGTTAGGACCCCCCTTATAGAAAAAATGTTTTCAATATTTAGTCACAATGCATTTGTGATTAGTAACCAAAATTCTAGTGTTTAAATCATAATTCATATGTAGACAGTAGATTGTAAACGCAAAATTCAAACGCGTGTTTGCAATAAAAAATTTAGCATTGCAACACAAATGCATACGTGTGAAACAACCGAGTCTACTGTACAATATTACTATTCTAGTGAATTTTAATCACTTACGAGGGAGTGTAGCAAAGGAACTTAAGAGGAGGTAAAATGGAGAAGAGAGATCTCGGAATGAGCTCGAAGTTGCAGTGACCCATATTGTTCATAAAATCTATGTAAGTTGCATATATGAGAATGGAGACAGCCGAGACCGTGCCGCATAGCAAAGTCATTGTTAGAGGTAGCCCCAAGATTAACGTATATCCAATGTGCTCCGCAAACGGATGTACTACCGCTGAAATCAAGACCCATGGTTTAGAATTTGTCGCACATATTCATAAAAATATGTAAGATATTGAACATATATCTCCATATCATTTAACAATATATAAAATTTTGAACCATTATAAGAAAATTATAAATTCATAACGTCAATTTATATGAAATGTTAAAAGACAACCAGAACATAAAACTTTAGTTTTTGTGAAACATATATAGAGTATACGTACAAGTGATTGGCTCGGTGACAATGGAAGAGTGGTGGTGAGAATGGTAGCGAGAGTAGAGGAAGTGGTGGTGAAGTGCTCGGTGGAACCAATAGTAGATGAACTCGACCGGACCAGCATGGAGGAGAGCGACTAAGATCAATCCATCGGTTCGCCAGAAGGGAATGGTATTGGTCCCTAAGACGTACAGTTTGGTTAAGTAAAGAATGAGAGAGTTGAAGATGATCTGATCGTCCCAGGTTTGTTCTCGGTCAACTTGATCAAACTCTATGGACTTGTTCACGATCCGCTTGGTTCCTTTTGCGGTTTGGTAACGGGATAAACTTATCCATATTTGGCTATGAACAATCCGCCACACCGCCAATGCCACTATCATAAGTTTCTCGTGATCTCGCATGGTTGCATATGAGTAGATGCTGTCAATAACAAGCGGGGCCAACACTATGTACTGCAAGATGTATCCATATATTATACAAACATCATGACTAATATATGGTTGATATTAAAAAAGGATTATAAATGGATGTATTTGAAGATGTTATAAAGCAAAAGAGAGGCAATGAAAGAGACCTTAAAGCTTCCAAGAGGAGTCCATGGCCAGTCCGTGAGAAAACCTGGTCTCGACGCCATTTTTCCTCCGCAAAATGATCGATGATAACTCCGTGACGTCTTTCCAACTCCTTTTGTGTGCGAATGTACTACATATATACTAATACTTGCATAGTTAGAATAGAGGGGCATCACATTCACATGTGAGGCACATGAGACTTCCTTTTTCCGAAAGTCTAAAAAGATTCTAAACCTAATATTTAAGTTTAACAGATAAGAGATTCTTCATTAAATTCTCTTGAATCTACACTCTTCCCAAATACTAAGTTATTCATTTGACTATACAAATTTGGCATATCCAAATTATATGTGACAATTGCCTTAGCTTACTATTTTCATTTTCTTTTCATTAATTGGTTTCTTGTTGGAAATTTAAGGAGCTGCTTTTTCCACCGAAGCTGGGGTCTTTATTTAATACGTATTGACAAAACCATGATTAGAGGACTAAAAATATAGAAGTATGCCTTCTCTAAAACATTGCTAATACAGATAGATACACGTTCACAGGGCCGGCGACATGAAAAACCAGGGAATCGACAGCCAAAAGCGAAGCACTAAATGTCACTATATAATATGGTTGTAATTCAAATGTTTTCAACATGAATACGATGAAAGAACCAATGATAAACTTATAGTACTAAATATATTATATAAACATTTGTATAGAAATTGAAATATACCACAGAGTTATCGACGTACTGGGCGGAGTTGTGGATTAGAGCAAAAAGAGTTCCTTCTCCTGCCATTATTTTTGACCAAAAAGAGAACAATTTAGCTAAACCTCTTTTGGTAGAATCTATTTTTGCCTTTTCCTTCGGAAACAATTTGGTTAAGAGTATATATATAGAATCTATGGCCATAATACTCTTTAGACAGTAATTTCAACATATCCTGAAGTATATATATACATAGTCTTAATTGTCGTCCAAATAGTCTCTACATATGAAATGCAAAACACAAAAAAAGTTCAAATATTCAAAACATCACTATCGCAGTAGATAACATATAGTATATATAACTTCAAAACATTCTATTCATCTCCCACCAGAAAGTAGAGAATCAGCTATGGAAGATCCACCGGTAAACCCTTTGAATACGGAGGAGGAATACGACATCCCTAATTCACTAAATCCGTCATGAACCCCAAACATCATCCCACTCCCAGACAAGTCCAACGGAGACAATTCTGGTAACTTTGCATCTCCTCTTAGATAATGTAGCACTTGTCTCATACTTGGTCTAGCCCGTGGGTCGGAGTGAGAGCACAAGAGACCTAGCTTCAAAACCATTTCGACCTCCTTTTCATCACATTCGGAACCCATATTCGGATCTTTAGCAGCCAAGATGTTCCCCTTGTTCCATAACCCGAAAACCCAATCCACGAGCAAGAACGTCTCATCGGTCTCATGCTGGATCTCGATAGGACGTCTACCGCAGGAGACTTCGAGTAAGAACGCCCCAAAAGCAAAAACATCAGTAGCAGTCGTGGCACGTCCTGTCCGAGTGTGTTCAGGAGCTAAGTATCCCAATGTTCCAACAACGTGCGTGGTCTGAGGATCCGACCCGTGATCATACAAACGAGCCAAACCGAAATCCCCGAGTCTCCCGTTGAGCTCTCCATCTAACAAGACGTTGCTGGCTTTGACATCCCGGTGAATCACCACTTGTTCCCATTCCTCATGGAGATAGAACAAGCCAGAGGCAACACCGAGAATAACCTTAATCCTCTGTTTCCAATTGAGCGTGACCTCAGGAGTGTTGTACAAGTACTTGTCTAAGCTTCCATTAGGCATGTAATCATACACCAGAAGAAGCTCACCTCTCCTACGACAATAACCCAAGAGAGGGACTAAATTCCGATGACTCATCCGACCAATACTCACGATCTCCGCCACAAACTCTTTCATCCCTTGTCGAGACTCATGCGAGACTCTTTTAACAGCGATCTCCAGCTTCGTACCAGGCATCACACCTTTGTAAACACTCCCGAACCCACCAGTTCCAAGAAGTCCCTTCTCCTTGAACCCTTTGGTCGCGTAGTACAAATCCTTGAACCTGAATCGATTCTTCCCAAACTCTTTTTCCCAATCCTCGAGCTCCTCCGCGAATTTCCTCCTCCTCCTCACAATGTAACAAACGAGGAAGATAAACGAGAAAATCAAAAACAGAGAAATCAACGGCATCCCGATCTTGTAGAACTCAGAGATTCTCTTAGGCTCGAACCTAGGAAGCTTCGGGAGTCTCGATAAAGCCAAAGGTGGAGCCTTTTCGTTCAACCCAAAACTCCACCCGAGAACATAATGTTCCGACAGAACAGAGCCTGTCGCAGAGGAGAAACCCACATACATATCTTGGAGAAGAACCGAAGAAAGATCTCTGACAGCCGAAACAAGCGGTCTTGTAGGTTTATCCTCGTTAAACGGAGCCATCGTCACATCGATTTTAGTTGTACGAGCGTCGTAATCGACCCAGACCTGCATCGGCTTACGACTGATCAAAGTCAGATTCTTGAATTGGTTTTTCTCGTCCCAATACCCAGCCCGAAAACTTTGCACAGACTTCAAACTATTGATATCGATCCCGACATGATTATCGTTTGTATCATTGAACTCTGTACTCAAGATCGTATCTAATTCAACAGCAAAGACATGATTCGTGTCGTTACCGTTGTTTGAGATGTTGAAAAGACCCAAGTATTGGCTTGGCGTTGCGTAAGGGAGGCTTGAGTTAGGAGCAACGACAAAAGCGATGCCATGACCGCTAAGTATCGGGATCTGAGAGTGAATAGCGAAGACGAAAGTTGTCGAGAAGGATGAAACGGTGCCGTTTGGAGAATCTTTAAACCGGATTGGTTTAGTGTAGAAGGCGTGACCGGTTTTCTGAACGGTCGTGTTGGTTAGCTTCAAGAGACCATTGGGTGTGACGGTGGTGATCCCTTGGATGGATATGTCGGTCGGTGGATTAAAGCCATTGTTGTAAGCAAAATTGAGACTATGAGATTGAAAGAGGAGGCTAAAGAAGAAGATGGTGAAAAGCTTCAAGAACATGGCTACCTCTTTTTCTCTGCTTCTGTGTTTTTTCTATTGCTTTGTTTTAGTTTAGTGGAAGAAGAAAGAGAGACAAAGACATTTTATGGTGTGAAGAGAGTGGAAAAGTCGTCACTCTTTTTTTTTTCTTTACTTATTGTTTCTAATAATAATTCTTTGTGGGGATATACTCGTAAGTCGTAACTCGTGATTGAGAAATTTCATCAAGGTAGGTGATATGGGTTACAACTTCCAACATTAAAAGCTTAATTAAAAAATAGTACTTCATTTCTATACTCAAAATACCAATATTTAAATCTGTCATCTATCAGGATCATTATGCTGTAACCATAAAAAAATGATGTTTTAGGCACTACTAGTATTTATCAAAGTATTTATGGGTGATGATGGAAGATTCGACGGTAATTATAACAGTGACAGTTTATTTTATTTGAGATAAACTTAAGAAATAATTAATTAAGATTTATAATCATTATGATTAATTATGCTCATGAATTTTATCTTTAAGAATGACATCAGAATTAACATCAGCATAAGCTGTCACGTTTCCGAGGAGTATTTGAGTAATTTAGCCCTAAATTTTAAATTTGTCTTTTGTCTACACTACTGCCTCTATGATATTTGTTCTTGTCACAGACTCACAGTCGTCTAATAAGCCAACCAAATACAGCGAGTTTCAACATTTCATAAAGTTATAAATGTGAAAGAGATATTGGAAGACACGTACTACCAATCAAATGTAAGAATCTAATTTGGGCATTTTTGTGGACACAAAAGCCTTAAATGGTTCTCAAAGTCTTGACATAACTCCTTACTTTTTTTTGCTAATGAAAATTAAGAAAAAAAATCTCTTACAAAAATGTATTATTGTAGAGATAAAAATGATTATATACTTTACTTTTTCTATTTATATGCTGAAACTATATAATTCAACTAGTTTAATTTTAACTAAGATGATTTAAAAATCATCATGTATAGAATTGCCAACCTTTTAATTAGCAGCATTGTTTACAAATAATGATACCATGTGAATTATTTCTCTAATAGTGTAGGGTTACATCATTTTACTTTTTATGAGTTTTATCTTGAATAATGAGTTTTTTTTTTTTGTTAAAGTTGAATAATGAGTTAGCCATGTACTATACTACTATGTGACAATGAAAAAAACAAGGGTAGAAAGAAACTCTCTCGACGAAATCGCCCTAGCCGCCGTCTAGCAAAAATCCAGATTTCTGATCACCCTCTCCGGTGAGCGGCGCTCCTCGCCATCACTGTGAGAGGGTCTCTGCTGCTGCTCCTTTCTTTGTATAGAGTTTTCGGTCTCTCCCGGTGCTAGATCTGGTGGATTGTTGGTGATTTGGTGTTGTTAGTTTTCTTAGCGCAGTTGACGGTCTTCACGGCGAGGCTTGCTCGGCGGTCTTTTGAGTGTCGTTCAACCTCTCCCATCGGTGTCACGAGAAGGTTTTTATGCCTTGGTCAGTTCTTTTAGGTGAATCTTCTCGGATTTGTTGCCATGGGTTCTTGTTGTCTCCTGGTTAATCTTCATAGTATGCAGAGTTTTCTTCTCCTTGGTGTTCGCGGTGGGTGTTAGCTGTCTCGATTCTTCGTCGTTCTCGTTCCTGAGATCGGTGATTTTTGAGAAGTTATGCCTCGCTCCTTGTCCCTGCTTTCGAGATCTGTTTAGATCTGATCGCTTTTTGAAGGATTCTAGCTAGACGTTTTGAAGACGCATCAGTCGTCGTCGTCGCATCCGGAAGCGTTTTCGAGTTTCTTTGAGTGGTTTTGCTTGCCGGGTTATGTTGTCCTTGGTTCTCGAGAGAATGGCTCTCAACGTGATAGGAGGAGGTATATGTTATCTTTGGGTTGGCCGTGGGCATCCTTGATAAATTGCATTTGCAGGTGTTTCAGAAGAAGATGATTCTCTGTTTCTTTGGATCTATCATTTCCCTTTGGTTTAAGCCTAGTTGCCTCTGCTTTTAGTTTAAGAATTCGTCCTCTTTCGATTGTGGTTTGATAATTTCTGCTTTCTATTGCTAGTTCTTTTCGTCTCCCTTGTTAGGGC